GGGGGGGGGGGGGACCATATTCATATATTCGTGTTCATCTACCTTAAAAACAATCGATTTCAAAAGAAATTAATAATGCAGAACACGAATATATGAATATGGTCCCCCCCCCCAACTTATCGATCTTTTGACGCCTATGTGGAAGATTCGGGTGATTTCCACGCCATGGTAGCGCAGTTTCATACCATCTTTGGCCATTGTGAACTACTTCAACTGGTTTCTTTTCCAGGAGATTAATTCGTTTTACAGAAGCATAGGAGCTCCCTGCTCCGGAGTCGATCAGAGCTCTGCATTCAACGTCATCCACTTTCATTCTAACAACAGGAAAGATTCCTTCCGGATTCACCTCACATGAAATTAGCAATTTCTTCCCCTTCACTCCACTCTTGGAATCATTATCACAAACTGAGGTGTGGTGACGCCGCCCACACTTTTGACATTTAGAGTGACTTGGGCAATCACTCGCACGGTGTGATGAACCGGTGCAGTTATAACACAGATGTTGTTTGGTAAGAATCAACCGTCTTTCAGACACAGATGATACTTTTGGGCACTCAGCTGATTTGTGTGATTTCTCAGTACAATAGACACACCCCTTGGGAGTAAAATCTTGACGTCGGATATTAAGCAGTTTCCAGGGCCGCCGAGAGGTTGGCGGGGGCCCAGGGCAAATTTTTTTTGGGGGGCCCCCTATCTAAATTTTTTTCCGGAGAACAACCTTCCCCCCCGTTCCGGAGTAAAAAAAATTTCCGGACGTTCGGTACTTAGCCCAAGAAAACAGATATCTTGTCCTTTGCGCGGAAATATTTAACACACAAAAATGTTTCAGGGGCTCCCACCACCCCGAGGCCCGGGGCAATTCCCCCCCCCCCCTCGGAGGCCCTGGCAGTTTCCCTGAAGGAAGCTTCTCAACCGGGTTTGCCGAGTCCAAAGTCTCACAGCATCAGACAGTTTTACAAAGTCCCAGGATTCCCAAGCATCACCTATTCGAACAAGGTCGACATGTATTCCAGGTAGTTTGTCTGGTGCCATCGATACGTACCCATTGACTTGAGAAAGTTTGCCAAGTGTTTCCAAAGACTGCACCGTATATGATAATTTATCCGAGAACTCATGAATTCGCTTCACATTGCCATCAGGAATTTTGGGCAAATCGAAAATCTGCTTGGTATAAGCCTTTATAATTTATGATCGTTTCCCATATCTGTCCTGAGGGATACTCTTTGCTCTATTAGAACCTTCACTTGTAAAAGGTAGTGCTTCCACAAATTTCCTGATTTTATGGTTCCAACAACTCTTGTAAATATGCGAATTTAACAACAGCATCAATACTTGTTTTTCCACCGTCTCTCGGAATTGTTCCCAGAATCGAGGCCAGTCTTGGTAGGCACCATTAAATTTAGTAATGATGAGTTTAGGTAACTTTGCTTGTGACTCTTTCTTTTCAACACTTGCTGATTCATGCTTTAGTTTGGCTGCCTGTAGCTCATTCTGGAATTCTAGGCGTGTCTGAAATAGTTCATGTTCAAAATCTAATTCTTGCTTCCGCTAGTTTTCCTCGCATTCTCGTTTCTTACTTTCACACCATTCTCTCAGGTCATGAATGTCCTTGTCTGCTTCAGATAACTTTTCCTCAATGTTTGAAATTCCATTCACTAATTTCTGTCAACTCCTTTTACTCGTCAATCATTTTATTATTATTAGGATTTTATTTAAAAACACGGAGTCCAATTCACATAGTGTGCTCTTCCCTGGAGCCGTGCAAAACTACCAAATATATGTAGATAACTATAGCTATAATAAAACAATTAAATAAATAGCCTATAATTAGATTAATACAATTAAATATATACAATTAGAGAAGTAATTTATAAACTAAGCTAAATGAGACTTATATTCAGCAATTGATTTAGCATTAATCGCTTCCACGGGCAAGCTATTCCACAGAACAGTTCCCCGATAAGTAAAGCTTTTTTTGAGAGCCTCAGTCTGAGGCCTAGGGACGAATTATTTAGAACTAGAGCCTCGTAAATTATGGTTGTGAACCAGATTAATGGACGTAAATTTATCCGAAAGATAATCTGGAACCATCTTATTCATTGTTTTAAACATAAGCGTTTTAAATTGCTGAGATCGTCTTTCTTCTAGGGTTTGACCAATTTAATTCACTTAGAACCTCGTGTGAGCGGACACTATAGTGAGAACCGTTAATAATACGAGCGGCTCTGTTTTGCAATTGTTGGAGTTTTTGTGCCAGACCCTTACCCAAGTTACCCCAAACACTACTGCAATAATCAAAATGTGGTTGAATCAAGGATTTGTAGATTAAAATTAGGATACGACGCGGAAGATATGATTTTAATCGCCTTAAAACTCCAATTATTTTGGTAATTTTTGAGGTAATTTGAGCAATATGTTCATCCCACATCAAGCACTCGTCCAGCTCCAAGCCCAAGCATTTGTATTTTTTAACTCGCTCAATGATATTGCCATCGATGGCCACTGTTGGTTGACTTGGTAAGGTAGCCAATTTGTGTCGAGTTGCGATGAACATACATTTTGTTTTAAGTGTATTTAGACTGAGCTTATTTATGTTAAGCCAATTTCTAAGCGAAAGTAAATCACTATTCATTACGGAGAGTAGTTGATTAATGTCGTTATCCGCATATGTCAAGCTAGTATCATCAGCATATAGATGTCCATCGGATATCAAGTTACAATTTGGTAGGTCATTAATGTACAACAGGAATAACAATGGTTCTAAAATGGATCCTTGAGGAACCCTACATGTAATATCAGAGCTATCAGATGGGATATTGTTAACAACAGTTATTTGAGTACGTCCCGTTAAATAACTGCGGAAAAGTTCAATGGTCTTGCATTTAAAACCATATCGAGATAATTTATTTAGAAGAATTTCATGGTCAATGGTATCAAAAGCTTTTTTTAAGTCAATAAAAAGTATAGCATTGATTAAACCATTGTCCATATTGGAATACCATTTGTCAGTGATATCTAGCAGTGCTGTTAAAGTGGAATGCAAAGGCCTAAAACCAGATTGGGCATCTGAGAGAAGATTGTTATTACATAGGAATTCATAAGTTTGATCAAAGATCACTTTTTCAAATAATTTTGCAACCATAGATAATACGGATATAGGTCTATAGTTATTGGGGTCCATTTTGCAATCTTCCTTATGAATAGGAGTAACCCTAGCTCTTTCCCAGTCATGTGGGACAGTGCCAGTATGGATTACCAAATTTATAATGTAAGTCAACGAGCTTATCGTGGTTCGTGCACTTGCTTTCAACAAACAAGCTGGAATGTTATCTAGACCATTGGCTTTACGTGTTGACAGTTTCTCAACTAACTTTGAAACTACTAACTCACTGACTAATAGAAGTTCAAATTCATTTTCAGGTTTGTTAATATGGTCATAGTTTGCATTTAAATTAACTGAGACTTTTGCCGCAAGTTTGGGTCCTATGCCAGTAAAGTGCCTATTGAAAGCATTGCTTACCCCGAGCGGATCATTGATTACAGCATCATCAACGACGACTTTTTCCGTATGGGTAAGGTTTTTATTCTTGGATAGTATAGTATTTATACCATTACAAGTTTTTTTGCAATCACCCAGATTATCATTAAAAAACGAGTTGTAATATTGTGTCTTATTTTCCCTAATTTTAAAGTTAACTTGGTTTTTAAGATTTTTAAAGTTAAACTAAGCTGATTCCTCGTTAGTTAATACAGCAATTCGTTTCAAGCGATCCCTCTCCCACATCAAATGTTTGATCTCAGTAGTTAACCAGGGTGCATAAGTTTTCCTAACTCGTCGTTTTTTAATTGGAGCATGTAAGTCTGCAATATTGAGAAATGTGGATTTCCAAAGATCCCATGCCTTGACAGGATCAGTTACTAATGATATTGACTGCCAAGCAGCTAGGTCTATATCACGCTTAAAGTTTTCGATATTGAAATGCTTATAGTAGCGATTTTCTAGTATTTTGGGTTTTGATCTGCATCGGTCGCAATGTTTTCTTGAAGCATATATTAGACTATGGTCACTTATTCCAATATGTTTAACCCCTGATATGGAAAATTTACTTGGTTCATTTGTGAGGAGAAGATCAATTAGTGTGGACGAACTACTAGTGATACGCGTTGGTTCCTGGATAAGTTGACTATACTGGTACAATTCACATAAATCAAGTAAATGTTTTGTATTATTATCGACATTGTTGGCTGCAACATTGCAATTTAGGTCACCAACAATAGTCGACTCGATGTGCAATGACTCGATTTTCTCAAGAATTACATGAAATTTGTCAAAAAGTTCGACAGGTGAATTAGGTGGCCTATACCATGTTGATATAAGAAAAGGTTTAATTTTAGGTTTGGTTATTTCAATACACAGAAACTCAAGGCCATCATCTTTAAGATCGTCACGGATTTTATACTCAATTGTACTTCGAATATATATTGCAACACCTCCACCGTGTCTTGTTCGGTCACGGCGAATGATTATACAATTATTAATGCCAATTTCAAGATTGCTTATTGTACTATCAAGTCGTGTTTCATTTAAAGCCAAGACGTCAATGGTTTGCTCTTTCATGTTTATCCGTAGCTGATCAATGTGTTTTACTAAGCTTGCAATGTTTAAGGAAGCGATTTTGAAACCTTTGAGTTTAGATACCAAAATCGTATTGTATTGCTTTACTAGGGATGGTTCTAGTTTGGTCTGTGGAATTTGGAGGCTTAATCGAATTACCTGTGTCCGCTAATCAATTGCTGATATAGTCAGTGATGTTTTTGGCATTCTTGCTTCTTCTTCCACTTTACATTTGTCTATGTCAGCAACAATGGTTCGCAAAGCTCGTTGTTGTTGCTCAACTGCTTCTTGATTTCCGGATTCCAGAATCTTTTTGGTTCGCCCGACTATAAGCTTAAGCTGTACTACCTTATTCTCAATTACACTGTTCCCAGTTGCCATAGTATTAATAGGTTTGATGTTGTATGATTATAAAGTACACAGAATTTGCCAATAAGATGTAGCACTTGTAGAAAGTCCTTCCAGCCAACTAAAATTTGGGAAGAGCTGCCAAAATTCACTAATCACTCCAAAAAATCACAAATGCTTGAAAATCACTGTACGTCTAGAGGGCCCCCCTAGGGCCGAATCTCGTAGTATAGGAACTTCGCACACTCTAGCCTAGTCGCAAGCTAAACTCGCGGGTTGCCGTAACACCCTTCACAGTATACAAGTTACACAGAAAATATATCGCTCACAGATATGAAATATATCGCCACAAATCGCCGAAATATGAATAATAATCCCACACTTCAGAACGTAAACAAGTCCTTGCACAATAATCTTTCAAACGTTATGTAATACGTTTGGTTTGAAAAGCATCCACAAAGTTGTCACCACTAATTCGATCATCTGCAATCTTCAAAGATTTCAAGACTTCGTGTACGGAGAAAACTTGGATGTCGTATGTGTAAATGAGACATGGCTTAATGAAAACATAAGTAACTCTGAGATCTTAAACTCTTAACTATCACATCTTTAGGAAAGACAGAGTTGGACACAATGGTGGCGGGGTCTTGGTTGCAGGGTCTTAGCTAGAGGGCCGTGTTGGCCGTGTTATCGCGGCCAAAAATGGAAAAACACGGCTAGATAAAATGAACGCGGCTTCATTATTTATGCAAGGCCGTGTAGGTTCATAAAATAAGATGGTGCTACTTACAACAGACAGAATTTCTTTCTATTTATACGTCATAAGAAAGTTTGTAAAATCTATTGTTGTTGTTGAAATTGGCAAAAGTGATCCGTGATGTTTTAATGTTTTGATGGATAATGCCCAACCGAAAGGTGTTAAAGTGGTTTTAATTAAATACCCACAAGAGTTGCTGAAATAACTTAACATTTTAATGTCAGTGCGCAATATGAGTATATGCTCGCCTTGTAATTGGTTGCAAAGCATAGAACAACCACAGGCATTGTCCGTTGTTGTAGTACCGTGAATTTGGTTATTCAAGGTAATTGACATGTGCACACCTTGGTCATTTAGAAACACGCCCAAGATCTAAAATCCTAGCTAAGACCTTGCTTGGTTGCAATCAAATCTAGTTCGTTTAGCTCGGTTAAGGAATTCGTCTCAAAACCGGATGACATAAAAGAATTAGAGATTGTTTCAGCAATAGTAAAAACTGCTTCAAACCAAAATATCCTCTTCTCTTCTTGCTACAGACCACCTGACGCTGACAGAACTTGGACAAGCATACTCAACACATTCCTGGATCAAGTTTGCGATCAGTTTAAAAACGTAGTGATATCTGGTGATTTTAATCTACCCAACATCTCGTGGGATGCAACATTGAATGTATCTGGTGCGAATGAGGTGAACTTCGTTGACATAATGTACTTGATGACCACTATTTCATTCAAGTAAACACCATCCCTACTCGTGCCAACAAAATACTAGATCTTGTTATCACCACCGTTCCAGAACTAGTCACTAGAGAGGTTAAGATACCCCGGTTTCGGTGTACGGGTACGAGTAGCATGATTTTGGTTAGCAATATTTTCGTCGATGTCTGTACCTTTACTCGTAAGGTGCACATTTTT